CGCCAGTCCTTCCCCAGCTCCTCTCTGCACAGCATGTGGTCTCTGGCCCTTCCCTCTCTGCACATCCACATCCACACCCATTCCCAGGTCCCAGTGATTGGGTTGTAGAATTGTCTAAACTGGTCCCCAGAGCAGCAGCATGGGGTTACCTAGGAGCTATTTGAAATGCAGATTCTCAGGCCTGGCCCCAGACCTATCCAGTCAGAATCTGCATTTGACAGGGACCCCCGGGGACTGGTGTGCGTTCAGGGTTGAAAAGCCTGCTGCATGTTCTCTCCCGAGCCAGGGCTGATGGCCTAACTATCCACGCCGCAGGCCCTCAGCCCCGCTGTCCCCACAGGCAGGTGTGCCCGTGGCGCTCTTCTCTGCACCTTGGCACCTGCTGCCCTAGGTGCTGTCAATTCCCTTCGCCAGTCAGGCCCCAAATCTGCTTTCAAGATGTGAATGCCCCCTGCCCCGCGAAGCCCTCCTTGCCCTCTCCAGTGGTCCCCACGCCCCGTGCATGTGCCCTCGAAGGTGGCCTTCATGCTAGGCTGTGCTGGGCATGCCCGCCCCGTCCTCTGCTACCCTGGGAGCCCAGCGCAGGGCGGGTGTCTGTGGGGGCTTGATGAAGCCAGCCAGGGAATAAATTTGCCGCTGTTCCCTGCCGTGCATGTGCCTAGGCGGCCACCAGGTGGCAGTGTCCTCCCAGCGTTTAGCGCCGCCCCGCTCCTCAGCCTCCCGGAGCCGGAGTCTCCTGACTGCGGCCTGTGCCTGGTGGTTGGCGAGCAGGAAAGTGGAGGGCTGGGGCTGCATGGCGGGTTCTGTGGAGCAGCCAGATGTTCAGTGATAGCTTGCTCAGTGCCAGGGCGTGGCGGGCCCTGCGCTGCCGTTGCTCATTCCATCCTCCGGGCAGGCCTGGATGTGGGCGCATCACCCCACCTGAGAGATGAGTTCACTGAGGGCAGGAGAGGAGAGGAGCCTGCCTGAGTTGTCCTGCAGCCTCGGGTCCTTCCCTCTGCACCCTGCCAGGCAGCAGATGCTGTGAACAGGGCTCCCTTTGGCTCGGCGCCCACATATCTGCTCAGCCCACCTTGCACACGGGGCAGGGCCAGCCTCAGCCCCAGCTGAGACCCGGGTCTATCCGTCTGTCCCGGGTCGGCCTGGGGACTGTGGAGCAGGGGCAGCCGTGGACATAGTGCTGGGCTTTGGCCGTGGACGTGGCGCTAGTCTGTGGGCATGGCTGCAGTGCTGGGCTACGACTTGCTGGCTGCCACAGCCTCCCCACCAGTTTTCCACTTTAAGGGAAAAAGGGCTCCCATGCCCCTTCATGGTTGGATGGCATTTGGGCCCCACTCTGCCCCTGAAGGCTCAGCCCTGCAGCCCTCCTCACTCATCGGGGCCCTCGGGAGGGCTCCTTGCTACAGGCGGCTCGCTTTGGGCAGCAGGGAGGGCTGGGCAGGCCCGGAAGGCCACCTGCTGGTGGGCAGGGCGTGGGCACCCCAGGACCCTCCCTGGGGCTGGTTGCAGTGCTTGGCGTCCTCCTAGGGCGGTGTGACCCCTACCGTGTTCCTGACGGCCTCCCTTCCTGGACTGCCTGTCTACAGGTGTCCCCCAAGGGGCTGCAGCTCATGGTCAGCTCAGCTACAGGGCAGCTCCACTTCCATCTGCTCTCTGCAGGGGAGCTCTTCTTATGGCAATTCTACTGCTAAAATTTTTTTAATATTTAAAATGCTTGAAAACCACTGATCTAATCTAAGTTCCTGCTTCCTAAAATCCATGTGACCACGAGGCTGCCTTGACGTAGGGTTCCAGGCTGTTCCCCACACCCCACCCAGCCCCAGCACCTTGCACCTGTGTCCAGCCAGGCAACTGCCAGCCCATTTCTGTGGCTGGAGTGCCCCGTGCCTGCTCTGCCCACGTGCCCGCTCTGCCCACATGCCCTGCTTTATGTTTGGGCACCAAGACCTCACCTGGCATCTAAGTGAACTACAGGTGCTCCCAGCCCCCTCAGAGGTACTTATCCCTTCTCTAAATTTCCATCAGACTTGGAACTCATTTTGGTGAGCCAGGGTCGCTTAGGTAAGCTGGGGTCTCTGGTGTGAGGCTTAACTCTTGTCCTCAAGACAGGGAGCAGCAGGGCTGAGCCGTGGAGGAAGGTCCCCTCCCCAGGCAGCCACTCTGGCCCCGCTGTGGCCTGTCAGGAGTCCTCAGCAGGGGTGCCTCTGAGGACTCCGTAAGGAAGGCATGGGGAGGGTGTGGACGGTGCCAGGGAGAGCAGTGGAGGCCCTTCCCATGTCCCTGGGCACCACCTGGTATTGGTTCTTGCTTCAGCGGAGCCAGCATATCACAGGTCCCCAGAACCTGGCAGCTGAGACCAGCCTTGGCGAGGTTTGGGTTTGAGAATCTGCCCTCACTAGCAGGGGCACAAGAACTGTCCTGCTGGGCAGAAGGCCATGACAGTCAGCACAGGCCTGGCAGGTGGGTGGCACCATGGCTTTGCACACTGCTGGCGCCAGGCCTGGCCTCACAGGGAGCAGGCAGGGACTGTGGAGGGTACCAGTCATCACCACAGGAGCCTGTCACCCCTGCAGGCGTGTCCACACACACACGCCACATACACAGTTCACCGGCACAGCTCGGGGGTCCAAGAGGGCCAGCAGAGGGCAGGCTCCGGCTGGCACCAGCCTGGCCAGCTGCCCTATGTCAGGATGCCCCATGAGGCAGCCCAGGCCTCTGCCTGCTCTTGATCTGAGGTTGTGGAGGGGTTTCCCTGGTGTCCCATGGACTGACTGTGTCTCTCTGTCCCCACCCACCCCTGCAGTACGAGTACAGCTTCCGCACAGAGCAGAGCGCAGCCGCCAGGCTCCCGCCCAGCCCCACCAGGTGTCAGCAGATCCCGCAGTCCTGAGGAGCCAGCGGCCACCTGCGGGGAGACCACCGCCCAGACTACTGACGGCAGGGGCTGCTGCCCCCGCCTCCTCCTGCCGCCTCCACCAGCCCTCCCTCCCACACTGCCCCAGCAGGGCTGGCCCGGAGACTGGGCAGCTAAGTGGGCGTGTCCTGTCTTCAGCTGGCCTGACACCCCGGCCTCCCTGGGGACGTTGTTCATAACCATGACTAATCTGTGTGTGCTGTAGTGACCAGCGGCTCCTAACGTGTCTGTGTGATGACCAGTTGTCCTCCAAAAACCTCACTCACCACGGAGTCCCCCTGAGGGCCCCGGGCAGTTGCCCCGGCCGCCCAGTGACGCCCACCGGCTCCCTCCGTTCCCTCCTGTCACCTACCAGGGCAGACCCCACTAAGCCGCTGAGTCCCTTCCTGGAAGACCCTGGGGGCCGATAGCTTTACCTAGGACTCTCCAGGGTCGCTGATCCTCCGTGGCCTTGGGCTGCCAGGACCAAGTTCCTCTCTACAGGATCTCACAGCAGCCCTGAGAAGACATGGAAGGAAGAAGCCAGTGGCCCCGGCGTGGACCCTGCCCTTTGGACATCCCATGGACTTCTCACCCAGTCGCCTGGAAGTCGGGGAGCAGCAGCCCTGCCCCCGGCGGAGGGGTTGTTGCTTTCTGGGGAGGAGGACGGTTGACGGCCCTGCTTGGATCCACCACCAGGACGCTGTGCTCGGCCACGGCGCGCCTCCCCCAAGGGCTCATCCGCGCAACAACCACATGCCAACGATAGCTCCAGGTGCCTCAGCCCGTGCCCTGACCCAGGGACCACAGGGACACCCTCTGAGACGTGCTGGCCCTGGGAGGATACAGGCACACGGGCACCTAGCCCCTCTCGGAGCCAGGCGTGTCTTGACTGTGTCTGCTAATAGGAACAAGTCATTCTGAAAGGTCCCCCTGACCCAGGTCACCAAATTTGGGCCAGAACTGGCATTTCTCCTGAGTACCCACTGGTGCTGGCGTCCTCACAGTGCTGGGCGCCAAGTTCAGCCCCAGGCGCGTTTGCCTAAGCAGTGGTGGCTGCCATCTCTCAGGGCCCGGGCCCTCACATGAAGGGCTGCCTCACTCTGTGGTGTCAGGCATTGGACTGTGTCCTGATTCCTCAGAATATGGGGACCTGATATCTTTGGGTCCCCAAGAGTTGGCTCTTGGATGTGGGGGCTTGATGCCGCGGTTGGCGGCTGCAGTATCTGGGTCCAGGGAAGCCACTGCCTCAGCAGGGACAGCCTCTCCCGCTGCAGGCCCTGGGCAGCCCACAGTAGTGCTAGCTGAGGCCCAGAGGAACAGGAGGAAAGGGAGGTAGCGCCGGACAGCGCAGCTGGCCAAGAGGCGGGCGGGGCCAGAAATACCTCATGCACCTGCACCAGCCCCTCCGTCTCCAGGCCCCAGGCCCCTGTGTGGACCCATCTTCCTCCTCTGCCACCCCGATCTTCACTCGGATACCTCTTGATTTCTGTGGATTAGGGAAGCAGCCACTTCTCCCTCCCTGAGACCCGAGGACGCCCCTGGTGGGGGTGGCCTTCTCAGGCCTCCTGGGTGGCACAGCAGCAGGACCTTGTCATAGGACTGATGCTGAGCGGGGAGGGGGCTGCCAGGCTGGCCGCCGATGCTCCGTTCACATAAGCCAGTGTGGTTCTGGGGACCTGAGGAGCCCCGTGGCACCCACGGGGGGCACCTATGTCTGCCGTGGCTCCTCGGGTGGTGGCCCGTGTGACCAAAGCCAACAACAAGGGTGACTTCCGGCAGGAAGGGGCGGCAGGAGGGCAGAGGGCAGAGCTCTGGCCACTTCTGCCCACTTCATTAGGGTTTGTGAACTTTGTCCTTCGACCTCTTTTCGTGCCCTGGTTGTGAGATCGCCTCTGACAGATAATGCCAGGGGCCCTTCACTCCCCTCCCGTGACTGGGAAAAGGCCTGTGGCAGCTCTGCTGGACCCTAGGAGGCTCAGAGGCAGTGGTGTGGGAGCCCCGTCTGCAAGGACGCAGAACAAGCAGTGAGGGCAGCTGCAGGAGAGGAAGGGGCTCCCACAGCCCCCACTGACACCCCTGCAGGCCCCTCTTGAGCTGGGGTCCCAGCCAGGTGCCCCCGCATGCCCTCCTGCAGTTGCTGGATGGACAGGACTTCCAGGCCACCAGGAAGAGGACAAACTGCGTGGACTCAGGCGAGCTGGAGCCATCTTCTCCATAGCATGACGGACTTAGCATAAGAGTAAATGACTGTGAACGTTGTAGTAAACGGCAGCTTCAGATAAGCAGTGACAGTGTTAAGGACAAGTTGGTGTCTGTGGTAGGTTTTAGGCTGCTCCTAACCCACCATGTATTGCCTTCTGAGAGGTGGGTGAGGACAAGCGTGTGCGTGTGCCTGTGTGTGTGTGTGTGAGCACGTGTGCGTGTAAGCCCACCTGAATGGGGCTGGTGCGGGAAAACTGAGGCGTGGAACTCTGGCTCATACCTAGGAATTGAGAGCTTTTCTGTCTTTTGGGAGAGTTCTTTTCTCCATGAGCCCTCTGGCCACTGTGGGAGGGAAGGACAAGGTTTCCCTTGGAAATGTGAAGAAAGTCTTGGTCTCATCCCTCAGGTCCCCCCCCGCCACAGCACTTCCCACCACTGCTGCTGTCCCTGCCGGCAGCCTCTGTCCCTCCAGAATGGCTAACCAGAGCACACCGTCCCCACCACCTCCCCTTTCTCTCTGGAAAGTTGAAGTGTCTTTCCAGAGGCCTTGGAAATGGCACAAAGGTGACAAGGAGCAGGTGCTTTGCTGCGGGCTCCCTTGCAAATGTATAATTAAGGCCTTTCTTCCCACCCCAAGTGCAAGAACAAATGCCAGCCACATCCTCCACCACTTGGAGAGATGAGAACCCAGCGGGGTCGTGTAAAGGAATTGGAGGTCGGTAGGAGGACAAGAGGGACTCCCGTGTTCTAAGCACCTGCTCCCGGCCAGGCTCTAGGCCAGGCTCTCTAAGCACATTTCTCCTTTTATTCCCCCTAAAACCAGAGTGACCTGGAAGTAGATGTTCTTTGCTCCTTGTTAGAGTTGAAGAGGCCGAGGCTTGACCGGCTGCTAAGCGGCAGAGGCGGGGGTCGGCCCCTAGCCCCCGGGCCAGCCATCCCGTCGCAAGCCTGTGCTGGGGATGCTCTTTCTGTTTCCAGTCCTGTCACGGACTTCCCAGCCGCCACTGGGCCCTGCCGGTCACCAGGCCACTGTGCAGTGGGTGCTGAGCACAGTCAGGAGTGGCCTACCCGCACTCCTCCACCAAGATGAGGGCCCTCCGGAGCCTACAGGTGTCTGTGGGGAATCCCAGACTGCAGCTTCTCGGAGAACTGGGTGGGCCTGAGGATGAAGGCAAAGGAGGGCCTTGAGGAAGCAGCCTCCGGGCCTGGCAGCCACACGGCGGCTGAGCTCATGAACTCGGTTCACGGCCTGCCTTGTCCCCAGAGGCCACGCCAGGCACTCACCCCTGAGCCCACAGCCTCTGCTTGGGCTGTCTGGCACCCTCAGGGCGGCCCGCTCTCCTCCTGCCACTCTGAGCACATATCCGGGGGTTGCCACCAGTGACGGCTTTGTTTTCCCAGCCAAGGCCATGGAGCTGCTGTGTGACTGTGTCAGGCCTGGACAAGGCCCTTAGGGATGACGTCCCCGCTGCATATTTATTCAAGGTGACTCTTGTACTTGGCAAGGGAAGTCCACTGTGTGATTGTCTGTATTCTTAATATAATTTGTTAAATAAACATTTGTTTTAACCTCTTTCCCCGGTTTGCTGTCGTGGTGTCTGAAGCCAGCAGAGGTCAGTGTCCTTCAGGGCAATCCCCCAGCTCTCTCGCCCCCAGCAGGGCTCCTGTCACCACCTGGCCTGTCAGCCTTCTAGAAAGGACTGGTGGGCTTCTTTGCCCCTCGTTTAGTTGAGACGACCTGGTTACAATCAGTGGGATTCTGGGGGATGCAGAAAGTCCCTCTGTTCTCTGGTGGCAGCCCTCAGGGTGCTCCTGGAAGGAGAAAGCCCCAGTTGCCGTGAAGACAGGAGCGGCTCCTGCAAGGTGGCCCCGGCGGGGAGGGCCGGAGTGCTTGGTGCCTTTCACCTCCTACTCGCTCGGGGCCCTTGTCTGGGGACACACAGCACATCGGAGTCTGGGTGGTTTCAATCCTGTCCCGCCTGCTCGCCTGCTTGTGAGAGGCCACTCCAGACACCAGCTAAGGAGGCGGGGGTGCCCAGGGACAGGCGCCACACTCCTTGTGAGGAGCCAACAGCTCAGGTTCCACCATCAAAGCTCTTTGCCTCCTCTTAGCATGCTCTGTGCGTCTGGGCCAGACACCGGTCTGCCTGCAGCCCGTTCACACCAGACTCGGGCAGGAAGGAGCTGGAGCACGGCCACCTTAGCTCAGTGCTCATCTCAGGGGCACCAGCCCTGCCTCCTCCGCATCCCAGACCCCCGCTCTGGGATGTCTCAGGCCTCTGTCCCACAGTAGGAGAGGAAAAACAGCCCAGAAGATCAAATAGGAAAGCCGCGGTGCAGACAGAACAGCCGATGCTGGGTTCCAGCTCAGGCCTCGCCACTTCTTGACCATGTGGCCTTCAACGAGTCACCTGCGCCCTGTATCTGTCCAAAGGGACACAGTTCCCCGCCTCAATGGCTTGCCCTGGGAAGATGGAATGAGGATGCAGGCAGGGCATTTAGCACACACGTGCCAGGTCTTTCTGGGGGGCCTTGATTCTATGTTATTGTCCACAGAATGTACAGAGTCCCTCCTCTATGCTGGGTCTGGAGACACCAAGGAAGTACAAGTGGTGGTCTTTGGTATCGAGGACAAGGCTTCAAGCACTGCTTGGAAAGGCAGACAGAGCAATGCCCAGGGCCCCGGGGCTGCAAGGAGCTGAAATCTACTACACTGGCCTAAGCCGAGGCGGTAGCGACCAGCCCAGGAGGAGGCCCATGGCGCCCAAGGCAGGTGCAGCCCAGCCTCGGAGGGCCAGCCCGGCAGCCCCTGTTCCTCCCCTGTGCTTCCCACGGGCCTCATGCACCTGAGCCCACGTCTCCCCCTGCGCCTCCAGCTGCTGGTTCCCAGCCTGACCACCATCTCAACCCTAATGCTCCGGGGCTTGCTTTTCCCATCTGCGTCCCCCCGCAGTTCCCTGCAGCCTTTCTCTGTGCTCAGCTCTGTCGCTGGTCAGTCACTCCAAGCTCCAGCCACATAGTTCCAGCAGCCACCTGGAGGTATCTATTGTGGAGGTCCCATACTCACCTTGAGCTCAGCACATGCCGAGCTGAACGAACCATCCTATCTCAAGTCCTAAACGGCCCCTCCTCCTCCAACCCTCCCATCTTTGGGATAGCTCCACCATCTCCCCATAGAGTTACCCATGCCCCTACCTGGAGCCCTTTGGGATCACTCCATTTGCAGCTGGACAGTTCTATCATCTAACTGTTTTCAAACCCAGCCACTATATTCTCTTGTTGCTGCTGTGGTGTTAGTTCTGGCCTCAAGTCCTCTCGTTTGGATCGCAGCATCAGCCCCCTAGCCACACCTGCCTCCCACATTGCCCTGTCATTCATCCCCCACACAGCCCAGATCCACCCAGCAGGACTCCTCCACTTACCCTGCCCTCTTTACCCTAGGAATGAAGGCTGAGTCCCCAGGAGTCCATGCCCCTCCCTCCTGGGCCTGGCTCACTTCCCACTGATGCCCCTGCTGAATTATTTGCAGTTCCCCAAACCCTTACCTCTCATATGCTTCCCTGCCTTTGCACATACTATTCCCTCTGCCTAGAATGCTTTTCCCCCATTTTTCTACCTGGAAAACTCCTATTCATCCTTCAAGACCCTGTTCCTGCACCTCCTCTGTGATGTCCATCCTGATGTCTCGGAGGCAAAGGTATTTTCACATTCAAGCTGCCTGTGCCTTGCACATGGGACCACATGTCGCTGCATTGCAGCCACCTGTACCTCTCATTAGATTATGTGCTCCTGGAAGAAGGGGTCCATGTCTCTGTCTCATTTCTCTTTTTTTCTTTTCTTTTTCTTTTTTTTTTTTTTTAGATGGAGTCTCATTCTGTCGCCCAGGCTGGAGTGCAGCGGCGCAATCTTGGCTCACTGCAACCTCCGCCTCCCAGGTTCAAGCGATTCTCCTGCCTCAGCCTCCCGAGTAGCTGGGACTATAGGCACCTGCCACCACACCCGGCTAATTTTTGTATTTTTAGTAGAGACGGGGTTTCACCATATTGGCCAGGCTGGCCTCGAACTCCTGACCTGGTGATCCACCTGCCTTGGGCTCCCAAAGTGCTGGGATTATAGGCGTGAGCCACCGCGTCCAGACCCATGTCTTATTTATTATGCCCTCCCCCACCACTGTATACCCAGAGCACCCAGCACAGGCCTAGAAAAATGGTGGACATCAGCAAATGCTCTCTGGACGAATTCCTTAGAGTGGATGAAGTAGACAGATGAACTAGACTCAATTGCTGAGGAACCCCTGAAGGACAGACACCAGCGATACAGGGCCCGTGATAACCAGCGGCAGGCCTCCTGGACACGCCCTGATGCTGGCCCCAGAGAGATCAGACAAGGACGGGAAAGCTGAGCTTTGTCTGGTTCATCTCTGAAGCCGCAGGACCCAACACAGGGCCTGGCTGCAAGCTGGCATCAGTCCATGGTGGTGATGGTGGGACAGGAAGGTGAACTGCCACGGGCTGCTGTGTCTCTTTCTAGAACCCAGCTCTGGGGGATGCCAGAGAAACGGAGGAGGTGGATGGGTCACAAGATCCAACACTAAAATGGCCAGGGGCTCAGGTCTCAGGGACTGGAGAATTTCAGAGATAAGTTGATTCCAAACTAGATATGGATAATGCACATAAAAAAAATTAGAAACATGGCTTGCTTCATGAACATGGGCATCAGAAGCCTCAATAAAGTCCTTTTTTTTTTTTTTTTTTTTTTTTGAGATAGAGTTTATCTCCAGTCACCTAGCCTGGAGTGCATTGGCACGATCTCGACTCACTGCAAGCAACCTCCGCCTCCTGGGTTCGAGCAATTCTCCTGCCTCAGCCTCCTGAGTAGCTGGGATTTCGGGTGCCTGCCACCTCAACTGGATAATTTTCTATTTTTAGTAGAGATTTACCATGTTCGCCAGGCTGTTCTCGAACTCCTGACCTCAGGTGATCCACCCGCCTTGGCCTCCCAAAGTGCTGGGATTACAAGTGTGAGCCACTGTGCCTGGCCAGGAAGCCTCAATAAAGTATTGAGCAGAGTGAAAGATGGTCGGGTGCCTAGACGACAGATGACAGAGGTCAGTTTTCTGGCTGTGCCCATTCATCCCTCCCACGTTGCCCTCGGTGGGTCATTTTCATCTATTTGCAGGCTGGGGAGGGGTGTCAGCAGAGGGAGCACAAGCGGGCAGCTGCCTGGCCCTGAGCCCCCTCCTCCCCTCACCCCACACCTTGGGTCATGTTGCTGCAGAGATGCAGGTCTTGGGAATGGTGGTGTGGGGGCAGAGGTCTGGGAAGGCCCTGAAGGCTGGACTCCTGATGGGGAGGGCACATGGGCAGAGGTTGGCACAGGTTGGAACACCCAAGACACATCCATCCCCAGCCTCCTCATCCTTCTCTGGAGCGGGCACAGGGTTCTCAACTTCAGCTGCACGTTAGAACCTTCCGAGAGTGGGTTAGAATTCCTGTGCCCAGACCCACACCCAGACCAATCAAACAAGAATCTCTGTCTGCAGACGGTACCAAGGATTCAGTGGTGTTCAAGCTTCCGAGGTGATTTCAATGTGCAGCTGAGAGTAAGAACTCAGTTCTGGCCGGGCTCGGTGGCTCACGCCTGTAATCCCAGCACTTTGGAAAGCTGAGGCAGGTGGATCACCAGGTCAGGAGTTCGAGACCAGCCTGGCCAAGATGGTGAAACTCCATCTCTACTAAAAATACAAAAATTAGCTGGGCGCAGTGGCAGGCACCTGTAATCCCAGCTACTCGGAAGGTTGAGGCAGGAGAACACTTGAACCCAGAAGGCAGAGTTTACAGTGAACCGAGATTGTACCACTGTACTCTTGCCTGGGCAACACAGCAAGACTCCATCTCATTAAAAAAAAAAAAAAAAAACTCAATTCTGAACTTTCACCACTTCCCCAGTCACATGTTACCAGTCAGTGGAGCTGAGTACCCAGGGAACTATGAATTCCCAGGGGCAGGTGGGAGAACAGACACCAGAAGAGCTCATCCACCAAGGGAAGAGAAGAAGCTGAGCAACCCACACCAGCAGAAGCAGAAGTCATAGATCAGCCAGAGCATGAGGTAAATATAAACAAAAGGCATCCTCCAAGAGATGTGGGAGGACCCTGGCAACATTGGGCAGGGAGAAGTTGTTTGGAATAAGAGCCTGTCAGTTTTGAAATACTGACAGACCTAGAGAGACAAAAACAGATAAGCTAGTAACTGCACTTCAAGATTTTAACCCACTTCTCTCAGAAACTATAGTCAAACTGCCAAAATATGAGCAAAGATATAAAATGTTTGAATAACCTGATTAATAAGCAGAGAACTTTCAACCCAGCGTAGATCCCATATCCTTTCAGAATGCACTAAGCCACTAAAGAAACCTCAATAAATTCCAAAGAGCCAACATCGTATCTAAAACCATCTATGATCATACAATGAAAAAATAATAAATATAAAGCAAAATGATAGCTTTTTAAAATGACACATGATTGGAAAATGCACTACAATTAAATAAGAGGAAGACATAAGGGAAATCATTAA